AKWYTACCTCAAGTGGCCAAGCAAGGAATGTAGGTGTGACCCTGTGTGGGGGAACTGCTTCCAGCTCAGTCCCCTCACTTTAGCTGGGCCATCTCCACCCTGGCTCAGGCCTAGATGTTTCCAACTGGTCTTTCTGCCTCTAGACTGTTCTTCTACTCTGCTGGATTATGCCCTCTCCCCCCATACATACATACATACATACAGATATAGATATAAAAACCCTAATCTTCCGATGTGATGGTATTAGGAGGTATACCTCTGGGAGGTGATTAGCTTTAGATGAGGTCATGAAGGTGAGGCCTCCAAGATGGAATTATTGTCCTTGTAAGAAGAGACCRAGTTTTCTCTCTCCACCCACAACACCTAATCTGGACCTGCCAACCTCCAGAACTGTGGGAAACAAATATATTTAAGCCACCTAGTCTGGAGTGTTTTGTTACAGCAGATGAGCTTACTAATGTACACCACACTCCCCCAATGTGAGGCTCAAGTGGGTTTGTAACCCTAGGGCCCAGGTGGCCTGTGGTTGTCTCTCCAGCTTTGCCCCCGTTCTTGCCTGACTGCCTCGGCACTCTGTAGTCTTGTTTCTGAGTGTACATGACCACTGCCTCTGAGCATGGTGCTACTGCTCTCTTGGCTCAGTGCTTCTGTCCCTCCCACCACCCAGCAACTCCCACTAGCTCTTCAGGGCTGGGCTCAAGTGTCACCTGAGGGAAGCCCTGGATGATTCTGCAGCCCCCACGCAGGGCCTTGTTATTAGCAGTCACAGCACCCCACGTTTGCCTCTGGAGTAACAGGATCACATTGAGGTGACTGTTTTCTTACAGGTCTGTATCCCCTGCAAGTGTGCAAACTCCTCATCTTTCATCTGCAGGCCACCAGCCCAGTCCCTAGCACAGTACAAAGGACATGGTGTACAGTCAGGAGAACTGAACAAATAGATGAATTTTCAGATGGGAGAGAGACTATTTTTAGAATTCAGAATATACAGGCCATGTTTGTTGTCTTTTCAGGAGAGCCTGAGGGAGAAGAGGAAGAGGAAAAACTCTCCCTGCCCTATTTCAACTATTTTTAGACAGAGTTCATGATAAAGGAAGAAAAGAAATCCCCAGATCTCACTCACCTCTCACTGACGGTCAGGTTCTGTTGCTTTAAATAGCCCAGGAAAGTGTTGAGGACCCAGCTAGCCACCTTTTTTGGCTCTGCCCTAGTTTCTTTTATCACATTTTGGAAGAACTCCAGTAGGCCAACTTCACTCTGTTAAAAAAAATATATATATATATATATATATAAAGCCTTTCCCAAAATGAAAGATCAGCATTCTAAGGCAAATCTGACATTCACTTTTTCTTTGCTCAATGCTGAGATGTCACCAGAAAATTCTGATCGTTTTCAGTAAACGGCAAGAATTCTACTTCTACTACTGCCACTCTGCATTCGGACAGCATTTTCTTGAAGGAACGATCGTGTGTGTTTTAAGAGCCTAGAGGACAGTAAAGGACACACTAGGACACACTCTTCTGTCCTTTCACATCACTCATGTACCCAGTGGCCTCTAGCCTTGAGCTGCAAACTGGGCCCACATGTTTAATGCCGTTTTTCCTCTCTAGGCCTGTCTCCTGTCAGGAGTCTTAGTGATTGCTAGAAAAGAAGGTAGGAAATGGAGCAGATCAAGAAGGAAAGAGCACATGACCCAGTCAGGCCAGACGCAGAACCAGTGGAGGAAGCTGCCGGCTCCCAGGCCCTGTGAGCAGGCGAGGCTCGCTGGCCCTGCCTCTCATGGTGCTCCTTGAAGTCACCAGAGGATTGAATGAACATGGAGAGCTGCTTCATGAAGACTTTACCGTAGTCCCCTCTGGACGGTAGCTGCATGAGTTAGGGCCATGCTGTTCTAACACAGAGCCAAGTCAACGCTGGGCCACTGTAGCTGCTTGGATGGAATCAGGGTCTGCTGTCACCATGTCACACTCATTCTTAGATGTCCTACATTCACCTTTAAATAGTGGAATTGCCACAGTTATGCATGAGAGTGACTGGGCACTCATCAGGTTTCATACTAATGGCCACCAGCTCAGTGATTTGGCACAACTCAGAAATTTGGCTAAGACTGCCCCTAAAATAAAAAATAAAAACATGCTCGACTCATGTGGTGGAGGCTGAAATTTCCAAATGCAAAAGGGTACACATTTTAAGTAACAGATTTCCCTTACCTGCTAAAATCCAAATCAAACTATACTTTCCTTAAAATATTTTTTTTTTTTTAACATTCATACTGCAGCTAAAGCTTCCACTTCCTCCCCTTTCAGGGAACCCATCATTAAGCAAGGAACTTTCTGGAAAAATAAGATACTGGGAAGAAACAAGAAATACTAACAAGTGCTCTCAAAGTTTAGTTATACTAGAAACTTCAATATATACACACAGGCACAAGTGCTGAAATAGAAATTCCATAATAAAAATAAAATGTATGCGCCCTTTGTACCAGATAAATTCTCTGGTGACGGGCCCTGCTGAATAATCCCATAATCGTCTCTTGAATCTCCTTTCGAGCCAATAGCTATTATTCTGCTCATGCTAAAGCAGGGCAAAGGCTACCTCGGCAGCCCAGGCTTGACTGCAGATGAAGGCGAATTCAGGCAACATGAAGAGGAAGTGCAGCTCAGCTTCCGGGAAACAGTCAAACTTCTGCCACGGTGTGCAAATCACTGGGGAGAGAGAAAACTGCTTTCCGGCCCCAATCAAATGGGCAGAGTTCTCTGTTCGAACCCAGACAGGCAGGCCCGCTGGCGAAATGAGCCGTTAGGAGGAGAACTCTGCTTTGCTAAGGAAAGGTTCCCGAAATCCACCTAGAAATATTGCGCTCGAGCTTGCAGGCTTGGCTGAGCAGCTGGGCGTGATGAATATCTACTCCTCTACCCTTGGGTGGTTTTTTTATTGGATGGATAACATGGCAAGTCAGATTTCTGTTTGTCTTTTCATGTCAGTGCTGTGATGAAGCCTCTCCGAGTTGGAACTGTACTTCACTGGGGGATACKCGGTTTCAGTGCTCAATTTAAAGTGGACGTGAAAATCTGCTACAGGGAGTGGGGCTGTCGGAGGCTGCGCTGTGCTGCAGCTGTCCAGAGAATGATGGATCAATAAAAGTTGCGCACGGGCTGCTGGCTTTGGCTCTTCAGAGCCCAAGTCCGCTTTCCAGGGAAAAATGCACATGCATTCTGGTTTCCTAGTGTTAGTTCTTCGATGAGACTGGCAAATGCTAATAAGCCTGGCACAGATCTCCGAAGTCCCTGGTGAACATGGCAGTGCAACCATCTGGTTTTCTCTGAAAAACAGCAGACTGGTAATTCCCTTACATAAAAATCATATTAAGAGCAATGCAGACAGGTCACTGCACTAGAGGACCTTCAGTGTCCTTCCCTGAAGCCATAAGCCTCATCTGTCCTACACAGGACAGAACTGAAACTTCAGCCACCCAGTGAGTCAATCTCCTGGTTCACATGACTCCAGTTGTTCCTCAGAGGTTGCTGAAGTGCAGCAGGGACAATCGGTCTTGTCTTATGTATAATACCAGGTAGTGTTGAGCTCTGTGACTGGAAGCATCTTTTTCACATTTCAATCAAATTTCCCGACGCATTTAATGACATCCAGAGTCAATGTCAGGTGAACCTCTCAGACGATAACAGGAGCCCTCACCTACTAATGGACCTGTCCGCTGGTCAATGCGGGGGTGAGGCAAAGTGGAAGATCACCTCACTTTCGCTGCTTGCTCTCGGAATGAGCCTCAGTTTACCCTTGCATAGGGGAAGCAATCTGTCCCCAAGTTGTCCTTTGTATTCTACCTTCAGAGACAACAAAGTGTTAGATGACTGTCCAGTTGGAATAGGATGAAGGCTGATTTCTCAACTGCAATTCTTATCCTAAGTCACACACCCTGTGAACCCGATAACAGTCCAGAAATGAGGCTGGACTATATTTATAAGTAGAATGAAACCGGATAGAGACAGCTGCCCAGGGGCAGGTTCAGAGAATAAAAAGAAGCCCAGAAAATACTAGTGAAGAAACAGCTGGTTATGTGACAGGGAGTGTCTTGGCACCTACGAGGGACCCTAGATTAGAGATGCTGGCTGATCAAGGTCTCGAGGGCATTTACTAAATATAGCGCTCCCTTCTCCATGGGGGGGATATGTCCCATGTTCCCCAGTGGATTCCTGAACCCTGGTCGGTACTAAATAAGCCCTGTATTCTCCCACATATAAATATTTGTGATACAAGTTCTAATTGATAAATTAGGTCCAGTAAGACTAACAATAACTAATAATAAAATTAAACTATTATAATAATATACTGTAATGAAAGTTTAAAAAAATTGTTTTTAGTTGTCAATGGACCTTTATTTTTTTATTAATTTATATGCAGTGCTGAGAATCAAACCCAGAGCTGAGAATTGAATCCAGTGACTCATACATGCAAGGCAAGTGCTCTACTACTGAGCCAAAACTCAAGCCCTGTAGTGAAAAGTTTTTTATAACATACAAATTATTTCTGGAATTTTCCATTTAATTACTTTTGAACCATGGTTGACTGTGGCTACCTGAAAACTTGAAAGCACAGGTAAGGGGAGACTACTGTACCTATTAGACACCTGGTAGTCAGCCCTGTGGGCAGCTGCGTATGACGGCTGCCGGTGGTGAAGGTTACAATGATAACAATTGTAGGGGCCTGTCCTGTAAGTGAGTTCCAACAACCTGTGAGCTGAGGATTATCAGGACTCTCCTGCACATGAGGACACCGAAGCACTAATGTACTTGAGGCCACACAGCAAGACAGCAGCAGAGCCAGGAATCTGAACCTCTGCAGTTTGTGTTCTTGTGTGACACTGCCTTTGAGCAAAGAGGACACAGTCGATGCCTTCCTGGGGACTGAGACTGAGCCGCTATCAGCGCGAGGCTTGATGAGAGGCAATGAGCTCATCAAAAGAGAGCGCTTCCCCACCCTTCCGTTATTTTGATATCTGCCAGATGTTCAAAGGTTATTAACCTATGAAAGATGCTTCAGAGGCCCCCAGCAATTAGCCTAGAAATTGGAAAGAGAAAATGGTAAACTCACTGTTTGCCTTTGCCAAGGTACACCAAGGCCACCTGGCACGACACACTCCAGTTCCTATACTAAGGAGGAAGACAGTGGCAAACCTACAGCCCCTGCCACTAGGGTTCCATGGGACAGGAAGGTGGCCAGAGGTCCCCCATGCCACTGCACCAGAGAAATTAGACACTGCTCAGTTCTCAAGTACCTTCTGACCCAATGAGACACATCCCCGGATTTCTCATGAATTCGGATGTGAAGCATACTCTCTTTTATCTACTGCACTCTGGTTCCTCTAATAAGGGTAATCCAGGTGGTAGGCTTGTACCTAAATGGGCAGGTCACCCCTGTGGTGAGCGGGGCTGGCTGTCCAGGACGTTTTGCCTCTGCAGACTGAAGGCTGGTGGTTTTAATTGGGTGAGGCTCTCATGTGTCATAAGGTGGCATTTTGTGGAGCCACAAACGGGAATTACATCCAGTCCCTGTGTGGCAGGGGTTGAGGGCTTGAGTAGCTGCTGAGCAATTGTAAAGACAGTCGGGGGCCTGTCATCTACACATCCATGGGGGCTCTGTCCTTCCCTCCTTATTCCTGTGAATTTGGCTTTTCTTACAAGATAAGAAAAACTAAACTCAAACCCCCCAACTCTGTAAAACATGGTGGTGAAAATAACACCAACTGCTAGTTGGGGAYGGAAATGAAGTAAAAAGGGCCGAGAAAGCAATAGTTCTAGGTCTGAAGGTTGAAGYTGTAGGAGATGAAGGACTGGAATTATTTTGGGGGTGGTGAGGGGGTGGCAATGGCTCTGGTCTGGGATGTGAATGAGCCTTTCCAGGGGCGGTGATGATCTTCCAGTGAGGGTTCCTGGGAGCAGAATAACCCCTGAGACGGGCCTTTCCAGCGGGGAAAACAAAGGGAGTTAACTGGCACGAGGCTGCCTCGAAAGCAGCATTCTCACATGGCAGTCCCCCTCAGGAGAAAGCTCAAAGAATCCTGAACCRGTGTTCCAACTTTTAAACTACAAGAATCTGCAGAAGCTCTGAACAGACCTACCCACACCAAAGGCATGCTCTCTGGGCCATCCCAAGGACACACGACTAGAGGTGGATAGTCCTATTTTGGTCCCTGTGACTCCCAGCCCTGGGCCATGTTCTCCCCCGGAGCTCTGGAGACCCTA